ATTTCAAGGACCTATATCTCAGAAACGAAGCAACTAGGAACTGTTTTCCTTCAAACAACCTAACAAATCACCCTCTGAAGTTTCGTACCGCAGTAAGGAAACACCCTGTATAATGAGTTCAAAGAGTGAATCAATCGACCTGAGATGAAAATGACACTGTGTAAAATGTTGATATGATCTAAAAAAAAATCTGAAAAGAATGGTCCCATACAATCTATACCATATAAATGACAGTTTTCTGAAATTGGCGTTTCTATGCGTCTATATTTCATACACTTATTATCTTCTACTTTCGAATTGATTCGTCTGAGTATGTTTATCCTGTATCTGTAGTGTAGGGAGGGTGAGTGTAGGGCCATACCACTAACGCCACATGTGATCCATTGTACATCCTACAGAGGGGTTGTCCTCCTAGGTCATCGTCCATCCTGTCCTTTCCAGAAAGATGAACAGGTTACTAGGAGACATCTCCTTTATATCGGCAGGTGTAGGCCAAGACTCGCCGAACACACACTCTCTTTGGCAACCTTGAGGCCCACGTGAAAATTTTGGAAGGTGCAGCGACATTTCTGTCGGCGTCATCAACCTTCTTGGGGTTTCCTCCGTGCAGGTGCACAAGTGAGGGAGCTTTCTTGCAGGGGCAGCCAGTTCCTTGCTTTCATTCAAGCCGGGGCTCTTGGCCCCCGCCACAGGAAGTGCCTTCGATGTTGAAGGTGGAAAGAGGGAGGAGGAAGGTGCACTTACAGTTGCTGCCACTCCTACCTCTTTCGCTCTCTTTTTCCTTTTGGCCTTGGTGCCGCCTTTGTATTACATCACGAGGTGATCTGCTATGTCCAGCCTCATTTCGAGCGGTAGATTGGGGTGGACATGTCTGTTCATCCCCAGCCACCGCCATAGATGGAGGTGAGCAATTCTGTCCATCCTTGGGATGGGTTTCTGTTTTGTTTTTGTGTTGGTCACCTCTGACAGAGCCCTGCATTACCAAAGAAAGGCTGATTAGGATGAGGTTTTGCCCGGTTCCCGCATATCACCCCACGGCCATTCAGCTGTCGGCACGATTCCTTACACCTTAGCTTGGGTAGGCTGGTCCACGGTGGGATGTTCCGCAAAGGCTTCTGGGGAGTTTAAGTTTTCATCACCCTACTTATTTCTGCCACTGACCAGGAGTGCAGCAATCCCGTCCGTAAGGCCATATATTGGCTTCCCGCCCAGGGCCCCCAGTCCTCTGGTCGTTCCTCTATCCGCCACCTGGAGACGCGCCCGATAGGTAGCCCAACTCACGGGAACATGTCGATTATTTCAGTCATTATTTTCGATTTATATNAATCACAAATGAACTTTTCAGATTTTTTAAGTGACTATCATTTAATCATTTCATTTATTTACAGAAATGGAAAATACATTCAATAAAAATGAATTGGCGCTCCGGGGCGACTTCTTCGATTTCAGTGGCGCATTTGGTTTTGCAGATGCAGAAAAACCCGGAAAAACCTGCAGCACCACATCATCTGAAGAAAATCAAATGAAAAATATAATTAATTCATGAGTTTATAATTGCAAAAATAGCATTTGCTGCAATCGCACATTGATTATTTCGATTTCTGGCCATTTTGATGTATCCATTCATTCCCCAGCTGGTACCAAAGGAGTTCTTCACCAACCGTGGCGCATTTGGTTTTGCAGATGCAGAAAAACCCGGAAAAACCTGCAGCACCACATCATCTGAAGAAAATCAAATGAAAAATATAATTAATTCATGAGTTTATAATTGCAAAAATAGCATTTGCTGCAATCGCACATTGATTATTTCGATTTCTGGCCATTTTGATGTATCCATTCATTCCCCAGCTGGTACCAAAGGAGTTCTTCACCAACCAGTAATCCATACCATTCTCCGAACCATATCCAACTATTAATACTGCATGGTTCAGTTCATGCGTTGAATTATCACACATCGTATCATCCAAAACACCTGCAAATGAGAAATTGTTTGGAATGAATAGTACACATGACGACAGTAAATGAATCACTGTTAGTAATGAAGGAGATATTTTTGTTACAATTCTGAACCATGAAGAGAGTGAAGTGTTTTCCTACCTGAAGAATACGATAGAAAAAACAAAGACATATTAATCAAAACTGAAATTGGCCCTTTGATGGCTACGGCCTTCTGCAATTCCTTCTCGTTATTTGCTTTCGTGGTTCCAAATGAATCTATCCTGACAGCTCTACGCGATTCATTGTATCTGCAGGTACCCGTTACTTCTTCATATGGGTATTCTTCTTCCAGCATAATGCCTCTAGATTCGATGATATATTCCATAGCTTTGTTGTTATTTCCTCTGTAGCAACCATAGCAACCATCTGTAGCGCAGTCCACCAGTTGTTGTTCACTGAGGGAAAGTAGTTTTTCAGTTTTTAAGAAGTATTGCCCCTCTACAGCTCCTGTCTGCAGAAAAGTATAGTTGAATGGAATTATTGTTTACTATTTCAGTTCTTTCAAAGGAATTTTCACTGAGTTCGCTCTTTTTCTGACAACATTGAAATCACCATTATAGTGATGATGACAAATATAGAACATGAACTGAACCATTAGGCTGCAAAAATGTAGAATAAAAATAGAAACTCACAGTGCTGAAAGCCCAACAAGATCCACAGTCTCCTTGGTCTTTAACTTCTGTAACGGCCCCATCTTTAGTCCAATCTACTACTGAAGGTAGGTCTCCATCAAAATCGATTTCAACCTTTTTGGTGTCAAATTTTAACGTCAGGTTTTTCGAGTATTCCATTCTCTCCAGAAATTCTGCAGGAGTAAGATCAGCGAATTTGTTGACACCCATTTTGAAAGAAGACTGACCGTTTTCATATTTCTCATTATGTTCTTCGATCCTCAACACGTTCGAAAGAAAAATTTTGTAACGTAGCTTCTCTTCCGCTATATCTTGATAGGATTTGGAAAAAGTGATCTGAAAAGATTCTATTGTATACAGCCTTGTGATTATTCATGAAAATCATAGATGGAATAGAGGTAATACTCACTTTGAAGTTCTCCCAAGACTCTTCATTACTAATAGCTTCAATAACTGCTATTATAACAATAATGTAGACGATGGACNACAAGTAAATAATAATTGATTTCATTATCCTCTTTATTTTAATTATTTATATGTTACTTTCACTTTATTTATTGTTTACATCATTTTCCTACAAGATTTTTCATATTTCAAATCAATTCTATAATTATTAACACACATCTGATGTTTTATATTTTCAAACTAATCTAATTAATCATATGTTATGCCTGTCCTGGTATAATTGATGTTTCAATAATTTTATATCAGATTTAAATTTATTTATTACATTTCAAACAAAGAAAGTCGAAACCTTAATTAATAAAAAATGTATCAATGAACCCTTCTTCAAAAAAGTGTATCCTAAATTTGGAAAAATGAAAGTGAAGCTACCTACGAAAAATATCGGTTCTCTTTTGCTAGTGTTCTTTTTATTTTATGCAATGATTTTCCTGTACCTATATATGAATTTTTTGTAGGTGTAAGTGTTATTTTTATTTTTGCGGTATACTTGATCAATGGCCTGTTTGTGAAAGTTTTTTTATTCAAGGAAACGATCTTTTCTCCATATTTAGGAAAATCATAGCATAGCATAGATACTTAGGTTGCCTTTTATGTTTCGGATTGATGAGACCAGTATGTGACAAGTGACAAGTGTTAAGGTGTCTTCGGAAGCTTTGAAATCGAAAAATGTGGAATGCGAGATCTATGAATAGCAACAAAGGTCTCAGCTGATTGTTCTCTCTCTTGTGTAATAAATACAGGTGAAATATAAACACATTTTCGTATGGTTTGAAGAAAAGCCGTTCCTCTCCATCTTTTCCTCGTAATGAAATTCCTCTTCAATCTACTTTTTTTTAAGAAAATGCTTTTTTGCTTCTTTCTCGAAAGACATTATTTTCCTTGTAGCCTTTTTCAAGGAAATAATTTTTCTTCCACTCACTCAATGAGCATTTTCTTCAGATGGTATTCACGGTTATTTTATTGTC